TTGAGTTTTACATCCCGATGGACACTTTCCATCTATGGGCTAAAACCTGACCGGTGCAGAGCGCCCTGCCTCATGCAACCACACCTTCAGCCTGGTGAGTGACCTCAACAAACAGCAGCTACAAGGAGCAAGGACTATAACTGACCCTATCCCAATATTTTAAAATTGAACACCAAGCTGGACATCTAAGAAAATCACATGAATAATGAGAATGAAAGCGTTGATAGCTGCCACCACTGTTTTAATGGTCCATGCCAGAACAAACACTGGCTTGGTTTTATTCCATGGGATGAATAAAAATAATGTTGCCAAGCATGCTGAAAATGAAAAACTTAAAATGCTAAGTATGATGATTATGTTAATGATTACTAAAAAAATTAACATTTTTTGTAAGTTTATTTGCTCCATAGCACAAATTTCACCTGAAAGAATTTGCTCCTCAGAAGATTTTACCTCTGAAAATAAAAGGTCGAGCAAGGGGAGAAAGAACAATAAAGTAAAAGGAAAAAGCCGCAAATTCAGAAGCGAAAGGGTTAACATGTTTTGTTTCAGTCAGTATTATACCAATGCCAGAATTACAAGGGAAAGACTAAAAAGAGCCAATTTTTTTTTATTATTATTATTCTTTAAAAGAAAAAAAATCAGGCCTATCTGTCACAGGGTTGTCCGGGCTGGAAGAACCGGCAGGAACCTCAAATTCCTGACCAAACCCTCTTCTACACAATGCCTCCTGAATGGAAGGAACCCAGGCCCGGCAGAGATAGCCCGCTGTCAGGAACCAGCCCTGACGTTTGTGGACAGACCGGGCTGGCCTCGCAGGATGTCAGAGCAGCAAACTGCTGTTCGAGATACTGGGTTTTCACACACTCCCAGCCTGGATGTTTTGCTCTTCAGGTAATTAAACAAGGAAACGGGGCTGATGTGTACGAGTCTGACCCCTGCGCCTCGGCTCCGTGGTTCTGCATATCAACTTCCGCACGAACCGCCTGGAGCATCAACAGAGTCCTCTACTCCCGCTCTCCGCCTCTCCCGCTCCCCACACCAAGCTCTAAAACAAATCCTCCTGGAAATATCTGCTGCTGTCTATTCCTTCCCCCCGCCCCCCCCCCCTTCCCCCCCCCCCCTCCCCATTTAAGAAGGACTAAATTACTTGCTCTGTTCCACACGCCTTGCTGCTTTCTTATAAAAAGAAGGAAAAAAGGAAAGAAATGGGTACTTTCGGGTAGCTGTTCTTCAGCCAGCCATTCCAAATATTAAATATCTGGGGGAGGGGAGGAACAGACAGAAGGATGAGGCAAGGGATTCCCAAATTAATGCTTACTTTAAGGTCATCACTCAAAGTGAAAAAGATCCTGAAAAGTATTTCCGATTCGTCCAACCAATTGCCAGGCATTCACTTATTTAGAAATAAAGTTATTCTGATTTAAGCATTATTGAAGAGTCTTTGTCTTACAAGACGACATAAATCATAGAACTGGGCATTAGAAAAATAGACCAGTGTTTTCTCTCTCTTTCTCCCCAAATTTAAGACACAGGAAAAGGCAGGTGTTACCACCTATACTCACTGAAAACCCTACACAGGCTGCTCTATGACTGACCTAGTTTTTATACTCTTTAAAGGCTATTTAAACAAAAATGATCTTTAAAAAAGGTAACACATTCCTACTTCTTTCTGAAAAATCCACAGAATAGAATATTGGCTGAAAAGAGAAGAGCCCAGAAGAAAGAGGAGTACAAAAGCATGCCTGCTTGTCTGTGTTCAACACAAAGAACATTAAATGAAAACAACTGGCACGCCGCCAAATTCCTATACAGGCAAAGAGATTCAAATAAATTGATTTCACGCATCACACTGACCTGGGATCAGTGAGCAGTGGTACAATACACTCGCTGCTCCATGTGGGGCAAAGCCCATTAACGTTATCAGAGCCACAGTACATTACGGGGGGGAGGGGGGATGGCGGCGCAGGGCGGGGCGGGTAAGAACCCAAACTCTGCAAACTCGGGGAAGGGGGATCACTTTGAAAAAGGAACTTCAGCTTCAGCTGGAGTGCTTGGTTTCAGTTTACTGATAAATATATCATATTGTGAGAGCTCGTCCTCTGCTCACCTCTAAGGTTTCAAAGATCGTATTTTCAAATTAAAATAAATACAAATGTCACACATACACTCCCCTAACATTCTACTTTTAACACAGTTGTTCTCAAACTCAGTTATTCTCTGTAAATTTCCTCCCTTCCCCATCCGCCAGCATTTTATATAGATTATGGGTTATTTTCTTTGTACTGCAAAAGCTGGATTCCTGCCCAGGATACTCTTACTGGCTTAGAAAGGAAACTGGAGAAATCGGCCACCGCTCTCAACTGGTCCAAAGCAACCTGACCTACAGAGAAAAACACCTTATTTGAAAGGCAGCAATAAAGAGGGCCCCGGTTCCCTTTGCAGAGTCACCCAGGCATGCTCCCTCACCACGAGGCGTTCTCTCCAAACCAGCGTATTTCGAATTTCACTTTCTTACAACGTGTGAAGTAACCCGTGTGTGCCATGGAGTCTCTTCTTGTCATCCCGGCTTTGTTTTTCATTAAGATCTCTCACACTCCAATCAAGAGCAATGCCAGCAAGCCACAGGTGTGCACCACATGAACAGATGAAAATCTGATTGTGAGCTGTGTAATGACAATTCGCTGTCTCTAATACACTCGTCCCCTTTTGCATCTGTTATTTGTTAGAAGCGGGGTTTGTTATTTCAATTGTACTTTTTAGATACATAGGTAGGTAAACAATTGTTATAAAGATAAAAAAGGAACCCAAGAAAAGACGACTCTGCAACAGCAAAACAAAGATGAGGATGCTTGAAAGCGATCACATAAGCATAGGTAGTCTAATGCTACAAGAGGCCACTGCTTCAAGGAGGCGATAAACACCTTTCCTTTTGCCTTCTATTCCATTCTGGTTTCAAATAGTAAGTCTCATCTTCTTGGGCACAGCAAAGTCCATATTAAGTTAAGCTATAAGAGTGTTGGCCTCATCTCTAATCACTCATCCAAATGTCAATGTGGAGCTTCTTGGCCATTTAAGACTAAAATTTTTGAACGTGTGACAAACACGTACATCCAGATGTAGGGACCTTACCCAGTCACCTCATTTCAAGTAAACGTCAAAATGGGAATGCTCAAAGATCTAACAATTGCTAACCACCACTGATTACTCTCTTTTATAAAGAGCTACAAAGCAGTTTTGAATTATCTTCATCACCAAGGTGAAAACTATACAATTATGGTTAACTCTAACTTGTGTTATAGAGAGGATGTGTTTGGTTTGGTGTAAGGCTACACTGATAGGACTGCACAGGAAAGGGAATCATTTAGTATACAGCAACTTCACAATGATAGAGATGCGCCTGCATCCAGGTGATACAGGCAGCCTGACCTGGCCAACAGTTAACAAGACAGAGAACATGCTGTTCCCTCCCATTTATGAATATTTCAGTAATACAACCAGATCATTTGGACTTCATAAAGATGAAGTGAATTTTAGTCATATTCATTCCCTCTTTCTATAAAATTGAATAGTATTAGAAAACATGCCTTCCTCCTAAGTTGTAGGAAAATTCCATTATCTTGCACGTGCTCTGACAGCAATAAACCACAATAAGCTTCTCATTAGTATGCCAGCACTGCACGTTTCAGGCATGAAATCTTTACTTTTACATTTATTTATTTTTAAAATCCTTTATGAAGACCCATATGGCAAAAGAAACTAACCAACAACCACCTGTACAGGGTACACTTGCGCTTTGAAAAATAGACTATAGATAGAAAAAAAGGAGAATTAGTCAGATGCTATACACTGTTAAATTAACAAAATAAAACACAAGAAGAAACACTGCTAAGACTATTCATCCTGCCTGTGTACAGGAAGGTCCCGGAGAAGCATTTACTTGTTTTAAACTGAGCTAGGAACTCGAATTAGAATGCAAATTCATTTTTAATAGCATTTAATTTTTTAAAAGTATGTTCACGCTGGTGCACAAAACCTCAGCCCCGGCCCCTTGCCACGACGCAATGTGCAGAGCCTCCTGCTGGCACTCTCAGCCATGCTCCATCTCCTTTCCACACCCACAGACAGAGCAGCGTGGGCCGCGGAGAAGACGGCGTCTCGGGTGGGGAGACGAGTGATATGATCAAGGCTTAGCTGCCTTCAAAACTAAACGGAGCATAGCCTAGAGTACTCAGACGCTGTTCATTTTATTTTGGTATCATACTCTATCAAAGTTATGTCATAGGCGAAATGGTCCAACACTGAGAAAGAAAGTATCAGTGTTGGAAAGCACTTAAAATCAGTTTAGTAGTTTCTTGCCAAATAGATACACAATTTTAGGAGAAAAAAATGTAGTTACAGTAAAGTCAGGAATGACAGTCATAGGTTACCTATAAGTTTAGTTCTGCCATAGCAGATTTATTTTTCCAGTATGGTAAAAATCTTTGCACACAAGAAACAGAAATATCCATTCTCAGTATCATCTCAATCAAATTTATCACAGATTCCCAATGCAATCAGAGGCTTCCTCTAAATTGCAAACACAACCATTTTACCAATGTGATTACCACCATCCCTTAACCTGGTTGCAGATATTGTTCCAATTCAGGAAACTGAACTTCATTATTTTCACTGCCCAGCCAAGTAATATTTACATGCGAGATAAAGAGCACCTATGTCATCAAAAACACAAAAGACAGTTAAAGATTTCACATATATGTATTTTTAAGCTAAGGAAGATTTTAGAAAAGTCATCACTGAAGGCTTTCATTGTTATTGCTGTACTCTCTCTCAGTGATATTAAAATGAAGACACCACCTTCATTGATTTAGGCAGACTCTTTGGAGGCTAAAGGGAAAGATTTCTTTTTTAATTACAGTTTACAAGGCAAGGTACAGTCATTAAAAATAACTTCTAAAAGGTATGCACATTACAAAATCAAATATTTTTCTGTTCCTTACCTTGACAAAATTCAAAGTTCCCTTTTTTCCGGCAGTCACCTATCACTAAACTCAGTGCTCTCCAAGTGTTTCTTTTGACAGATATCATTCTCCACCAATCGCTCTGCTAATTTCCTCTTTCCTTTTCTGACTGGGACAGTTATTATGTTCACCAGCCCAGAGATCAATCTTTTCTATTGACAACAACAAATGAAAAAAAAAAAAAAAAAAGAAGAAGCACATATCACAGCCAGTTTGAAGCACCACACCCCTTCATTTGCATTATAATAGCAGTCTTTTAAAATAAAAAGGGAAGACAGAAACGGTATCATTCTAAATCAATTACCCACATATTCTTAGTAAATTCAAGGCAGTACTTGAAAACTGTATTAATTCTTCAACAAAGACTGTTTCATAAGTTGCTCATTTTAAATAGTTGACATATAGAGGGCAACAAAGTAAGGGCAGCCTGTATTCTACCATGGAAACACCTATTAACCAATTCTGTAAAAATGTTTGGGTTTAAATACATTCATATAATATAAAACATTACATACTTTACCTGGTTCAACAGAAGCTCTAGAGAATCATTTATTACACAAGCACGGTCACTAAAAATAGAGACCTTGCAATTACACATCGCTATACTAATTTGGATTTGTAAGTCATAACAGCAAACACTTTTAAACAAAGGGAGATCAAAAAGCTATTGATATATTTACAAATCATCCTCCCACTTTTGAAAAGGCAATTTCCCTCCCACTCCAACACCTACAAAAACTGTTTATTTGGGTTACACAAATACTTTGCCATTCATATGAGTCTGTATTACAGCGTTGTCAGTTTTTCCAAGACATTAATACGCTTTTCAGGGGGTTGTAATTATGTCAAGGCAGAAAGACTTTCAGAGCCAGGCACACACAGTTACGTACATGCTTCAATCTGCATCCACTATTCAGGTATTTTGGGACATAAAGTTAAGCATGCATAAGGATCTGGTCGCAGCTGCATGCATCTAACAGAGAACCCAGCCTCAACCCGCTCCTGGACTAGATCTTAACTGCAAAAAAATGTATTGCCCAAGGGCATTTGCAAAAGCTCACATTTGTGTTTGTGCTAGAAATTGCAATCTTTCCCACAAACAAGCACCCTCCTCAAATCAAAACAAACCTTCCCAAGTTAAAGTTAAGGTTACAGAACAAAGAAGTTCACCACTCAAAGTCCTGTCCTTCCCATGTTCGTGGTCAGACGTTTCCCTGAAGCCCTGACACAAGCCAAAATTCTATTGATTTCAGTGAAAACGAGAGGCGTGTAAGGACTGCAGGACTCTACCCAGGATTTGGCAACTGCGACGCTTTCAATATGACACAACTGCCTTTGGCATTTGGAAAATAATCTCAAAAATGTGGTTAGGACTCCCCAACTTGGGTGCAATAACTACTTCTCTAAAATGATTTTTATTTTGTATGAAATTCTCTAGTTGTCACCATGTTCTTATATAGGCAATAAGTTTACCTTTCAGTTGTGCCTTGTCATGAATTGTGTATTTTTCAATTGTCCAGACTTTTGCGTAACACTTCACATTTCCATAAGTGCATACAACATTCCCTAAATTGTGGTTATTGTTTGATCTGATTTTTATGGCCATAAACTCATGCCTCTACCAAAACCAAAAAATCCTTCACTGACCAAGTGGCCCTATTAATTTCACTGAGATCATTTAAACATTAAGTTTTCTACTGAGTGACGATAGCACAATCTGGTTGAAATATGGACTTACAGTGGAACATTAAATTAACATCATATTTTGGATTCAGAATTACACACAGCAGCCATCTGTAAAGATGTATTCATGTTTTGCTAACCTTTACTAATTTGGCCACTAGAAATAATTACGATCAAATATGTTAAATTATGTAACATATAACAATTCAATATTTGTGTCTGCTGAATAGCATACTCCTTTTTCATGGCTGGTAAAAGATTTTTAAACCTCTTACTGTAAAAAAAGTTCATATTCTTAAAAAAAAAAAAGTACCCATCTGTCGTCCACTTTACAATGAAGACATCACTTTAACTTACTACTCTTCCTTTGTTTCAGCCCCATGTTCATTTTCTCTATATGCCACATTTTCCAAAGTGATGGATGCATTCTGCTATACCCATTCTACGCTAATCTTCTTTAAATTTATTTTTGCCTCCTGAATTGTAAACTGCTGCTGTTGTTCAAATGTACATGCAAAATTGTCTAAAGTCTGAACTTCACTGAAAGTAGAATGCCTCAAACAATTTGTAGTCTTACAAGAGTGTTATAAAAAAGGATCAACATGTTGTATTACCATGGAAATTTTGAAAAACATACTTTCCCAAACAAATATTACTTTTTCTCAATGGTATGAAGTAATGAAAACCACATGTGTAAATCTGCGATCCGTGCAGTAGTTCAAGCTGCAGCTAATAGAAAATACAGAGAGTGAACTCTGCCATATAAAGGATTCTTGTTACAGAAATATAATGTGAAAACCAGATGCAGACAGAAAACCTTAATCACAGATGGGAATGTAATCACTGGCATACAGAATACTTTTTTGATCAATCTCAACCATATGAGAAATGTATTTATTTTCTAAGGAATGCAATAACTCGAGAGAGTCTTCTATTTGAATTCAGTTAACCTCATATTCACAGTGCTTTTATCTTCAATGTGGAGAGAAGGGGGATATAACCTGAGCCAAGATTTTTAGAAGAGCCATTGGCCCTGGCAAATCATTCTTGTATCAGCTTATCTTGCAAGGAATTAATAGGATGTAAAGACTACAAATATCAGGATCAGCCTCAAAAGAAATCAACCATTATTGTACTTCTTGGTTACTTCCAGAAATCCCTTCATCACCTAAGCACTTCTCTGGTTAAATTTTTCCCTTAATACATGGTTCTTCAGAAATATAATGCTAAGAGCACACCGTTGCACTGAAGTTCTGCAAAGGAGAGCTGGAGTCCTACACCAAAGAATCTCCCTACTCCTTTATAAAAGCTGAAGAGTCATCGGTTCAAAACTAAGTTTACTTTGGGCTTCCTTCTAACTGCTGGAAGTCCTAGTGAATGCCCTCCACCCACTCAGCTCGTGGG